CGAATGAAATGATAATCTATCTCTATGTGTTTTGTTCGTGCGTGGAAGATCGGGTTCTTTGCGATTGCGATGGCGGAAGTGTTGTTGCAATGGATGGTTGTAGGAGACGGCTGCGGAAGATGGAGCTCGGCGGCTAGTCTGCGGAGCCAAATGACTTCCGATGTGGCCGCGGATAGAGCCTGATATTCGGCTTCGGTGGATGATTTTGCAACCGTAGCTTGCTTTTTCATCGTCCAAGATATGAGATTCGGACCTAGAAAGGTGCAGAATCCTGAAATAGATTTGCGGTCCGAGGAGTCCGATGCCCAATTGGCGTCGGAGTAGGAGTGCAGCTCGAGCGACCCAAGGGAGATGGGCAGGCCGTACGAGAGAGTGCCGTTGATGTAGCGGAGAAGACGTTTGAGATCTTGGAAGTCTTGATCCGTCGGGTGTTGCATATGTTGGCAGACGCGGTTGGTTGCGAAGGCGATGTCCGGCCTCGTGATGGACAGATATTGAAGCGATCCGGCGAGTCGACGGTAAAGAGTTGGATCATGGAATGGCTGAGTGTGCTGTCCGATCTTCTTGGATGCGGGAGCTATAGGAGTTGGGGCCGGCTTGCTGTTTTCAAAACCTGCTTCAAGAAGAAGTTTTGTAGCATAGTGTTTTTGTGATAAGAAATAACCGGTGGTGGATTGAATTACCTGGATACCGAGGAAGAGAGAGATGTTTCCTAGCTGTTTGAGGGCGAATTGAGACCGCAAATGTTGTAGTAGATTCTGGATTGCGACGGGATCATTGCCTGTTACTAAGAAGTCATCAACATAAATGAGAATAAAAAGCAATGTAGAGTTGGTGTCAAGAATTAAGAGCGACGGGTCGGCTCGACTGATCGTGAATCCTTTGGATTGAAGAAAGCTCGTTAGCTTTTGGAACCATTGTCGCGGGGCTTGCTTGAGGCCGTAGAGCGATTTTTGAAGTTTGCAGACCGCGGTCGGATGTTGTTGGTCGATGAACCCGGGAGATTGACGCATGTAGATGTCGTCCGAAAGATCACCGTGAAGAAACGCGTTGGAGATGTCAAGTTGATGCATGGGCCATTTCCGGTTGACGGCGAGAGTTAGAAGCAGGCGAATGGTTGGCATCTTGGCTACGGGACTAAAGGTCTCATTGTAGTTAATGCCAAATTTTTTATTGTAGCCAAGTGCGACCAATCGGGCCTTGTACCTGTTTATTTTGCCGTTTGGTAGCAATTTCGTTTTGTAAGTCCATTTGCATCCGAGGATCGGTTTGTTGGTTCGGGGCTGGACTAAAGTCCACGTTGCTTGCTGCTGAAGAGCATTGAATTCTGTGATCATTGCTTGCTGCCAGTGTGCCGACTTTGCTGCCTGGTTGTAAGTGTTCGGGGTGGATGTGGAGTTGGTTTGGGTTAGAAGGTTGAGAACTTGTTTGGGTTTGTGAATGCCCGACTTGGATCTTGTCTGCATATGATGAGTGGGGGGCCGTGAGTGGGTGGAGCCAGAGGGAGGATAGCGGAATGTAAGTCAGGTTGTCTGTCAGGAGGTGTAATGTCGAGGTAGGTATCGGGTGTGTTGTCTGAGACATTGTGTTGGGGTGAATTCGGGATCGGATTAGGTTCCGGGAACTTGGATTGAGCGGAGGTGGGTATGAGAAGTGCGGGAGGTATGTGATGGGTAGGTGGTTGAGTAGGTAAGCTATCCGAGTTAGCAGGATGTTTATAAGGAAATTGGTGTTCGTAGAAGACAACGTGCCTGGATACGTGTGTTTTTCCCGTTGAAGGATTGTAACATTTATAACATTTGTGAATGGGGGAATAGCCGATGAAAACACACGCTTGGGATCTCAAAGAGAATTTATCGGAGGCATACGGACGAAGCCAAAGGTAGCATAAGCACCCGAACGTGTGAAGATGGCTGTAGCTGGGGGGACTTCCGTGCAAAACTTGGAAAGGGATTTTGTTGGAGATGGCTTTGGATGGTAGAATATTAATTAGGTGGTTTGCGGTGGAGACAGCCTCCACCCAAAAGTTGTGAGTAATCCCGGATTCAGAGAGAAGCGCTCTAGTAATGTCAAGGAGATGGCGATGCTTGCGTTCGGATAAGCCATTTTGTTCCGGCGTGTGGGGGCAAGACAGTTGTTGAAGTATGCCGTTATCTTGTAAGAAAGATTTGAATGCATGGCTAGTGTACTCGCCGTCGCCGTCGGAGCGTAGGATTTTAGGTGTGGTTTTGTATTGGGTGTGAACCATTTTGCAGAAAAATTTAAAGGTGGCGAGGACTTGATGTTTGGCGTGGAGGAAATAAATCCAAGAGAACCGGGTGTGATCATCTATAAAGATGATGTAGTAGCGATATCCATCAGGAGAGGATAGCGACGTTGGACCCCAAACATTGGTGTGGACTAAATCGAAGGGCTTAGAGGTAACCGTAGTTCTTTTATTAAAGAAAATTTTATGGCTTTTAGCCTTATTACAAGAGTCACAAGGAATGGACTGTTTTACATGAACTAAGTCAACAATCTGTCGTGCAAGAATTGAAAGAGTTTCTTGTCCGGGATGTCCTAGACGCGAGTGCCACGGTATGGAGGAGTTGGTGGTAGTAGTGAGAGCGGCGTGATGTATATCCGGAGGAAGACAGATCCTGTAGAGCCCGTTATGAAGGCGACCAAGAAGCAGAGGGTGCTTGTCCCGAAGATCCTTCATGATAAAACCATTAGCATCGAATGTGATAGATAAAGAATTATCCTTAGTTAATTTTGAAACTGAAAGAAGATTGTGGGTGAGCTCCGGTACGTGGAGGAGGTTGTGAAGAAGAAGCTTACGATTCGAGTCCGAAAGAGGAAGTAGACCCTGACCAGTGTTGTATATGGGAAGCGTGGAGCCATTGGCAGTTGAGACGTTGTCCGAGCCTTGATAAGTGGTCGGGTAGGTGAGATGAGATATGTCCGGCGTTAGATGAGATGTGGTGCCTGTGTCGAGAACCCAATCTTGACCAGCGGAGTTGTTCTGTGTTGCAAGGAGGGCTCGAGGCGGTCGAGTGTCCGTCGGGGCATATTTAGGATTACTCCTATGCCAACAATTTAGAGCTATGTGACCGACTTTGCTGCAGATTTGGCACGTCGGTCTTGTTGAATTCGGAGGAGATGGAAGGTGCTGGGTGTAAGTCGGATTAGCTGTGGAGTTATGAGAGTTCTTGTGTTTTCCATACCTCTTGGTGCTGTAGTTGCGATTGCGAGAGTTGTTGGAGGTATTAGAGTAGAGAGCGGATGCGGTGATGTGTTCTTGATGTAATTCTTGTCGCAAATGAATTTCTTCATTGCAGAGCATTGAGTAGAACGTATCAAGATCGATTGGAAGAAGTGAGTTCCGGATTGTTGACTTGAAAGAATTGAAGTTAGGGGGAAGGCCATTCAAGATATGAAGCATAATGTCTTCCGAGTCAATTTGAGAGCCGGAGGCGGTGATGTTGTCGACGATGGATTTGATGCGAGTGAGGCATTGTTGCATAGGTTGATCCTTCATCTGGACTCGGTACAGCTCGTTCTTGAGTTGCATTACACGGGATCGACTGGTAGGTTGAAGTCGGTGTTCAAGAACTGCCCAAGCCTCGCTTGCTGTGGTGGTCGTGATGATGTAAGGCAGAATTGGTTGAGAGACCGTTGAGAAGAGCGCCGAAAGGAGATTGTTGTCGACGAGGCGCCATTGGGCGTGCTCGACAGAGGTTGGATCGGTGGGAGGTTTAGCAGTTCCGGTGAGGTGGCCGGCATAGCCATTTGCCGTGAATTGTTGAAGGAGTTGTACTCGCCATATAGGGTAGTTCTCGGTAGTCAGGGGATGCGGTGCTAGATTTTTTATGTTTGAAACCAGAAATTTGAGTGGTTGAGGTATGTGGTTGTTTGTGTTGGTTGTTTGGACGGAGGGGGAGGGGGAGGAGGGTGGAAGAATGTTCATTGATTCTTGATCTCCCATTGGAGCTCTGATACCATGAGAGCATAAGTAGGAGAAAGAACCAAGAACAAGAACCGGAGAAGAGAGCAGTACAGGAAGAAGGAGAAAGGAAAAGTAGAAATCTTATTATTGAGAAATGAATACAATGCCAGAGTTTATAAAGGCCGTAAATACAATCACGTAAATACTAATATGTATAGTATTCTAATAGCTGTGATAACAGATTTCATATACTTATTGAAGCCTAGTTCCTTTTAGCTAGGTTGATGAAACTGCATCTTCGTCTGATCTCCCAATGTACATATTGCCTTTTTAAAATTTTGATCTCTCTCATTTCATTTTTTGTCAGTAAACTTATATTATATATATATATGCACACACAAACACATGTTTTGAGGTTCATTTCCTGCAATTTTGCATAACCTTTTATGTGATAACTCCACAACAGATCTGTGCTGGACTAAAGCAGATGCACAGTTTTGATCCTTCATATGCCCATAATGATGTGAAACCTGGTAACGTTCTGATAACACATAGGAAGGGACAGCCACCTCTTGCCGTAGTGATGGATTTCGGTAGTGCTAGGCCCGCTAAACTGAAAATACGTTCTCGTTCAGAGGCTTTACAATTGCAGGTGCGCGAATCCCTCTTGTATCAGAGAGTTTATTTCTTATGTTACATAGTTATTGACAAATAGCTGGACCATTTTACCACTAGGGTACCTTCACTTAAAAATTTGGTTTTCCTGCCATACTAGCTGTGTTTATATGACGCTATTTATGCTTCTACATCTAGTCATTTAAAGTCACATGATGCTATTGCTATGTCATCCAATGTTATTCATTATTTCATTACCATTTTCAATTTTTAGCACTTCTCATTAGTTGCATCATGGTTTTATCGTCATCATCATGGTTCTCCCCCCTTTATCCTTCCTATTTTGTTGAGAACTGGAGGCCGCATTATCACAAATATTTGGAGTTGGCTTCCTGAATATTGCTTCTTCATTAGTTATGGATCCTGGCTGGCATGGACTATAAATCCGTCTTCCAGTTTTGTGTTGTATTTGGTAATCCAATTTGACTAAATCCTTTGAATAACTTGCAAGCATGTTTGATATTTTGATTTATAGCCTTCATCATCCCCTTCTAGCTCTATCATCTTGATTTCTTTTCCAACTTAATGCTAGCTTTTCTACTCCGTTTTGTGATAACCTTCTCAATCTACTTTTTGTTTCCACCTTTTTTTTCTATCGTTTGGCGCTTCTTTTACCAACTTTCTTCCACAGCCTTTTAAACTAATCATCCTTGTTACCTTTATTATTCTGATAGATGCTAATCAAACTCAAATTTCCCTTATGGCGCTAACATTCAGACTTAGGTTTCGTTTGGGACGGCTTTTTTGTTGCTTCTTGAAGCAGATTTTTAGTATAAAAATTAAAAAGTTGCTTTAAGAAGCAACAAGAAAGTCGTCCCAAACTAAACCTTAATCACACCGAACACAGCTCACTTCAATGCTGCGGAACATTATTGTCCATGAGCCTGATAGGGTGACAGTTACAATAATATATTGTTTTTTCTATAGAATTAGCTCAAAGACCTTTATGCCTATCCGAACTAATACTACTTTATGCATATATTGCGTACTATGAAATCTTGAAAGTTGCCCACTCAAAGATACTACATCATGTTTACTTTGTTTAAATTGTTTTAATCAGGAATGGGCCGCTGAACACTGTTCCGCTCCATTCAGAGCTCCCGAGTTATGGGATTGTCCAAGCCATATCGATATTGATGCAAGAACAGATATCTGGGCTCTGGGATGTACCTTGTATGCAATAATGTAAGAATGAGTCTCTCACCTGTTATCTTTAAAATAAAATAAGAAATAACCTGAAAGATTCTGGCTTCGTTTGGAACGACTTTCTTATTGTTTCTTAAAGCAGCTTTCTAGTATAAAAATTGTTTTAAGAAACAATAAAAAAACGGTCCCAAACAAAACCAGCATCATCTAGAAGAAACTTCAGTCTACCCTGTATGGATTATTATTAAGCTAGTTTACATGTCAGCCCTTCATATGAATTCACTCATACTCTGAGCTCATGAGTAGAACCTTTCAAGATTTCTTTCTTTTAGGCTTCATTTGGGGCTGCTTTCTTGTTGCTAAAATTTTTATACTAAAAATTTGTTTTAAGAAACAATAAAAAAGCCGTCCCGAGAGAGGCCTTAATCAACACAAATATACCTTGCGTTCATAAACTGTTATTGCCTTTTCTTCCAGGTATGGCATGTCACCATTTGAGTATGCACTGGATTCTGGAGGGAGCTTACAGTTGGCTGTAATGAATGCTCAGATAAAGTGGCCATCTGGCCCTGACAAACCTTTCCCTGAATCACTCCATCAGTTTGTTTCTTGGATGCTCCAGCCTCAACTAGCCATCCGACCTTACATCGATGACATAATCCTTCATGTCGACAAACTTATATCAAATTTCTCATAAAATATAGAGGTTTTTACCGATTGGATTTGTGTTTGTTGTACCTTCTTCTCTTTTTCCTTGTATGCATATTATTCATACCACACAAGAACTTTCTCATTGTTAAACATTTAGGTTTAGTTTGGGGCGGCTTTTTTACTGCTTCTTAAAATAGTTTTTTAGTATAAAATTTTAATTTTTGTACTAAAAAGTTGCGTTAAGAAGCAGTAAAAAACTGTCTCAAATGAAACCTTTTATAAATTATTCTTTTCTCCCATTTTGGCAAGCTCCATGGAAGCTGCTTTCATGCTGAAGTCATTCTATTACAGTCATATAAGAATTGCTTTTGAAAACAGATTTTTTATTGCTTCTTAGAGCAATTTTTTAGTAAAAAATTTGAATTGAAAATTGCTTTAGAAATTAATAAGAAAGCTGTCACAATAAAGCCTGAA